ATTTGAATAAAGAAGGCCATTATGTTGGCCTTCTTTATTTCTAGACTTATCACACCATCATTGGATGTGATAAGTCTCAATAAAGAAAGCCAACATAATGCTCACAAATATATATTATATACATGGTGAAGATTACTTATGTCAAATATTCAATTGTAATTTAACCCTCCATTATATGTAGGCTGTTTTTTATTCAAGCTCTGATGGTCCATAAAAAAAAGACAGGTGTAAATAACAAAATGAATTTATTACCAAAGAGATACAAACATGGTTACTTTTTGACATAATCACTGTGAAGATTGAGGAATTTGTCATATCTGTGGATGAGCTTTTCCATCCCCTTGTCATAGAATGTTGCTGCCAGTGAATTGAGATGGCCTTAATAATGTTTTGAAGATCGTCATTAGTCTCAAACCTCTGCCTTGCTAGCCACTTTTCCTGTTCATGAAAGAGGTGGAAGTTGCTCAGCACTAAATCAAAACTATATACTGGGTGTTTAAAGGTGGGGAAGACTTCCACCCCTTTCCTGAACTGAAAATGTGGCTAGCAAGGCAGAGGTTTGAAACTAATGACGATCTTCAAAACATTATTAAGGCCATCTCAATTCACTGGCAGCAACATTCTATGACAAGGGGATGGAAAAGCTCATCCACAGATATGACAAATTCCTCAATCTTCACAGTGATTATGTCAAAAAGTAACCATGTTTGTATCTCTTTGGTAATAAATTCATTTTGTTATTTACACCTGTCTTTTTTTTATGGACCATCAGAGCTTGAATAAAAAACAGCCTACATATAATGGAGGGTTAAATTACAATTGAATATTTGACATAAGTAATCTTCACCATGTATATAATATATATTTGTGAGCATTATGTTGGCTTTCTTTATTGAGACTTATCACATCCAATGATGGTGTGATAAGTCTAGAAATAAAGAAGGCCAACATAATGGCCTTCTTTATTCAAATATATACAAAGACTAGACAAGAAGTGTATCATAGTTATATAATAATTTATTTTTACTTTAAATGACTGTTTTTCTTTGAATTTAATTAAGAATTTCATATCTTTTAAATTATTATTACCATTAATTAATTTTTGATTGCTATTTCTTTGTAATTTGTTTAGATAGTCTGACCAGTCAAAGAGATAACAAAAATCTGAGTGATGAATTAAAATAAACAATTTTCATGTGTAATCTTTTTTATGCATTCATTATTAATTACATTATTTAACATTATATAAATGATAAAGTTATAGTATGTTTATAATAAGCAGTATTCTATGATGTTCGTAACGAGAGGTACTTAATTCCGCGAGTGAAATGGTACCAAAAAAAAAAACACTTAATATTATTTACAGCACCAAGTATTTTAATTCTCTCCAAACAGGTTCTTTACATCGGATCCCAACCTTATAACTTTATGAATTTTATATACATAGGCATTTACGTACTAGTTTTCCAAGTAGATAGTTGATATATGCACGACAGTCAGACATGGGTCGTATCAACTTACACTAACTTATACTATCTTAAAACTAAGGAAAATGGAAAAGTAGATGAAATAAGGAAGGATAAGGAAAGGAATAGAAATACCTGGGTTTCTTTTGTAGCAGCGTGCTCTTGGGTAGGACACAACTTCAGATCTCCCTCTTATTCGTGATCCTTTTCCTGTCGTAGGACTTTTGTCTATTTTTGACTTCGTCGTCTTTCTTCAATGATCTCTCAGCAACTCGCAGTCCTCGATCATCTTTCTAAAATTTCGGAGCACTGCCTTTTTCTGCCTATCTCTTTGGGATTCTCATCCAGACTAACTCGTTCTCTGTCCGTTAGGCTCCAGGGCCTCACTCCCTCTTTTGTTCTACTTATTTTCTTGCAAACGATAATCCTACCCAAGGGCAAAAAGGGTTAGATAAGAATGTTCTAGAAGGAATTTAGAACAAAGAAACAGGAAAGAAGGCTAAGATTAATCCAAATAAAACATACAACTACCCAATATCATGGCTGACAGCCACAATTCTTTATATATAGACAACTAAGCCCAAATTATTGTAATAATCAAATGATAATGCTAGGCTAACCTTTTGGCTTAATTGAACTTAATAAGCTTTTTTATTAATTATGTATTATCATTTGAATAATAATAATTAATAAAAATACAGAATAAAGTTTTAATTATGCATTAAATCAGTTAATTTTTAAGTGAATTATTGGTTATTTATATTTGAATATATGCATATTAATAAAATCCTGTAATTTAATGTGATTCATTAATGTTAAAATAATATGAT